ATTTAAATATGACTAAGCTCTTTCTAAAAATTCCTGTTTTAATACATGCATGCATACACCATGGGAAAATTACTGCACAGCCGTAATCTAAACAACATAATCAATTTGCTAGATTTTATTTTTACATGATATTTTAACACAGAGCTCTATATATGGCTGAAACACACCTTTTAACTATAGGTCTTGTGCTAGCATGCTTTTCTCTGAATGTGATTAATCTCTATGAATACAATTACAAACACCATTTACTAATTTATCTCTATAATTACATTTATAATTAGAACACAATACATGTGGAAGTATTTACATAAAGAACAGAGTTAGGAACAGTGAAAAGATAAACAGTTTGGGGATTCTTTTTAGTATTGTATTTAATTACACTTATGCCTTATTCTGATGCCATTTCTTTGTTTTTCCCTTAAAAAACCCCAAACAAACCAACAGAAAAGTGCCCAAACATTTCTGGTCTTCCAGTAATGCATTAAAATGTGTCTCATCTCCTCTGTACACAGTGAAATGCGAGCTGAATGCAAAGTGAGGGAGGGTGAATTTCTCCAGGTTCTGTATGTCTGATCTCTCAAAACCTTCAAAATTTATCCTTGATCTCAGCAAACACAGCAGAGCACAATGTTATTTATGCATTCATTTATCTTTTCATCAAGGGCGGCTTATGTGGTCTTTACTGACTTTGGTTTCTCATCATCATCGCAGATCAGCATCTGCATTGTGTGCACTTGTAACAGGGATAATGGATCTCACTTACAATACCTACAAACTCAGCTGAGAGCCGTGCAAAGCAAATGGCCATAAATGCACCCATCCTGGCCCAAGTCCTGATGAATAAAAATGAAGATCTTGTCAAATAATAAAGTGACAGGTTAATTTACAGCACAGAATAGTGTGAACAGGGAGAGCTCCGGTTTCCCAATCTGTATGAACGGTGCCACCTATCTGCAGCTGAGCAGAAAGCCTCAGATAGACTAATTCAGAAATCGGGATAAACACATGTGATGTTGCTTAGTTTTGTAAATATCAGAGGAATGGAATTGATGATAAAGGAAAATGTGAGATTAGACACACACAGTTGCTTTCGAACCTAAAAAACAAGATTTCCAACAAAGAACTGCTGTATCAAACAGTAATAAAGAGCCTCAAGCAGTTGTCTGTGCTCATGCCAGTTTTCATGCTTAATTCTGCTGCCCTGTGGTTCTTAGCTTTGACATTGAGATCTGCACGGCCACCAGAGATAATTATTTCAACCTTCAGGCCATCAGGCACTCATTTTTGATCATGGATATGTAAGAGATTTTTTTTCTTTTTTTTTGCTTCCCAGGCTTGCCAAGTGGATATTAAATGGAAGGGTAAAATAAGCAAAAATGGTAAGCGTTTTAAGAGAAATTAAGACACTGGGCTGTATGCTAGCTTTTCTACTAGTTTTTCAGGCCTTTCTATTGTTTAACCTGATTCAGATCCCACTATAAATACTGGCAGAAATATTTGAACTGACTTGAATTTTTCATTAAGGCATTGTTACAAATAGAAATTAAAAAATTAGCTTTCACTTTATAACACTGCTGTCAGTAGCACTGTTCCAATACTCTCTAATCCCCTAACACAATTTGCATACCATGAATCCACACATTTGATACACTTCTTACAGTAACTCAAAAAAATTACAGTAATTTTTCTCACCCACACTTAACACACTTGGAATTAAAGCACATTATTTGTATTGTAACTACTCTGTGTAAAGTAATTTTGGAAGATTACTAATTTCAAGAGTTGCACTATTAAAACTGAGTCTGCATTGCAACTTACATAAAGTATCAGTTATAAATCAAGTCTGTCTGATGGGCATTTGGGAATTGGTGTATGCCACATGTTAAACATATCCCCAAAGTACAAAGCTGGCAGGCTATTTATATAAGTCACAAAACCAATGATATTTATCACTAACATTATCTTTGGCTAACATTTTAATACATGACATTTATTTTAGATCAATATATTTTCCACTTACAGATTAAAATACCAGTGTATTTCTAAAATTAAAGCATCAGATACAAAGAAAAAAATCTTTTTTTGCACACACTGCTTAATTATACTGTATATCATTTGAGTTACTCATGTGCTGCTACCCCCATTTTACAAGTGTACAAATCAAAAATCATGCACCTAAGTGATCAAACATAACAAAACAGTAGACAGATCTAAAATAGTATGTGTTAGGCTGCATTATTCCTTTCATATGCAATATTTAAAGAAAAAAACCAAATGCAAGCAATAGTAGGCTAGACCTATCAGATGTCTCTATGAAACAGAGACTTACAACTAGGAGTATCTCTCCTGAGTTTTATTTCACTTCAAAATAAGTCTGAAACTAAAACTCTAAACACGCACAGTATTTTGCTATGTGGGAAACTGATAAACAGGAGTGATTGTGCAACAAAAAGCTACTGGAAATTTTCCTGACAAAAAGCCAGTGGGAATTTTTGCCCTAAGTATGTTGGACTTGGCCTTGCAATTACTTTTGCACAGACAGGCCACAGGTGCAAGGGAGAGTGAACAGAATGTTGTGCACTGTTGAAGATGCAATTTCGCATAAAAATACTGAATTGTAAGAGATTTTTTTCCTTTTTTTCTTTTTTTCTAAGAAGCCAAACAAAATGTAACAACTGTACAAAAGGGAAATACAAAACAGTCTCCTTGGACACAGTCCAAAGGTGCAAATAAAATGTATTGTCTGTGCTAATTGTGCATATATGAACAGAAAGTTTTGGAAAGACAAAATACATTTAAAACATTTTTTCCTTAACATATTTTAAATTCAATTTTTTAAAGTAAAATTTCTCACATCATTTCAAGATATATACCCAAGAAAATGACCTAGCTTTTAGAGATATTATGTTTAATGGTTTCTGCAACAGCTCTAGTGTGCATTCATTTTACTTTATTAAACAGCAGGAGTCAAAATTAATGCCATCCCCAGGCAAAGTAAACTTTCACATCTTCAGTTTTGTAAAACACTAATTCCATATCTAAGCACAACTCACTTTTCAACTCCAAGAGCCTGTTGTGCCTTTTACACTCCTTGGAATTCATACTGCTTTAGAAATGTCACTGAGAAAGGGAATATTCTTTGATAAATGGATATTTTTAAGAGTCTGGAGTACTAGTGAACATCAAAGCAGTTCACTCCAGGTTGGGAATGGGCATTTATATGCATTACCTACAAAACTCACAAAGAACTTGCAGGATTGTCTACTAATGGAAGAAGTAAGAAAGGTCGAGATCCCCAAATGCCTTTGCTGCAATAGGAAAACATCAAGCCATAGCTAATTCTATGTAGTAAATTAAAAGAAAAATTATTTAATGCCTTTTTACATCCTTTCTATTAACAGCAGTACCAAAAGGCAGGTCTTTAGGTTAGTGACTGTGACTATGGCAAAGCAGTTGGATACCGCAGCTTTTCAAAGGATGAGGCAAATCATTTTGGGTATAGATGCAACCCTGCCATCCCAACAGCTTCCCCAGATCTGCTTCTCTTTCCTGCTCTCCTCTGTATCACAGCCTGCACAGTCCGACATTTTCTGCTCATCCAATATGGCATATCCAGCAGTCGCTGCTTTTCACTCATTTCCAAGTGGGCACTATCCCGAGAAGCAGGGATAGTGCTAAAGATGGTTTCCGTGTTGGCTTCAGAGTTGGCTTTCAGGGATGATGAGCAGTCAGCACGGAAAAGTCTTCACAGACCTTTGCAAGCAGAATGTTGCGGTAGAGCTGTGAGTATGATGGGAACAGAGAAACTTCTGAATGTTCTGCCCACCACAAGACAGCTGGCACACAATTAGCATTCCTCCTATTCTACAGATGGAAAAAATGAAGCTCAGAGAATTGCCTCGTGCAAGAATTGTATGACAGAGGTCTGAACACAATCCAGATCTTCCAACTGTACTCTTTAAGTAACTATTTGAAGAATATGAACACCAAGACAAGTAGGAAAGTGTAATGGGTTGACCCCGGCTGGATGCCAGGTACCCACTAAAGCCACTCTCTCACTCTCCCTCCGTAATTGGACAGAGGAGAGAAAAAAACAGCTAAGGATTCATAAGTTGAGATAACAGCTGGGACAGGTCACTTACTAATTACCTTCATGGGAAAAACAGGCTCAAGGTGGGGATAGTACTTAAATTTATTACTAACAGGATAAGAGCCAAAGACTGAGAAATAACACAATCTTAAAAACACCTTCCCTCCACCACTCCTTCATTCCATGTTCTCCCTCCTCCCCAGCAGTGCTGCAGGGGGAGGGGGAATGGGGGTTACGGTCAGCTGTTGTTTCTGCCACTGCTCAGAGACAGGAATCCTTCCCTTGCTCCTGTGGGGTCCCTCCCACAGGAAACAGTCCTTGATGGACCTCTCCAGCGTGAGTCCATCCCTCAGGCAGCAGTTCTTCCCAAACTGCTGTCCCATGGGTCACTCCTCCATGGGTTGCAGTCCTTCACCAATGAGCTGTACTGACATGGGTCCCCTGCAGGGGCCACAAGTCCCACCCAGGAAAAACCTGCTCCAGCGTGGGCTTCCCTCTCCACAGGCTGCAGGTATCTGGCAGGATCCTGCTCCATCTTGGGCCTCCCACGGGGTCACAGCCTCCTTCATGCTGTGACCCTCCTCCACCTGCTCCAGCATGGGCTCCTCCATGGGCTGCAGGCGGGTCTCTGCACCCTGATGGTCCTCCATGGGCTGCAGGGGCACAGTTGCTCCACCATGGTCTGCACCACGGGCTGCAGGGGCCTCAGCTCCGGCACCTGGAGCATCTCCTGCCCCTCCTTTTGCACTGAGCTTGGTGTCTACATTGTTGTTCCCATGTTCTCTCTGCACTCTTCCCTGGCTGGAATTCTTTCTGTGCCACAATCTTCTGTTCTTAAATATGTTATCAGAGAGGTGTTACTATTACTCCTGATTGGCTTGGCCTTGGCCAGCTGCAGGAAGTCCATCCTGGAGAGGGCTGGCATTGGCTTCACGGGACAGGGGAAGCTTCTAGCAGCTTCTAACAGAAGCCACCACTGTAGCTCCCCACCACTACCAAAACCCAGCCATAGAAACCCACTACAGAAGGTAAAATTGGATTTCACTGTCAATAAATTCAAGAGCCACCTGCCAATAGGCAGACTGGATAAAATGCTTATGGTACATAAAGGATCCAATGGTACTGTGAAAGAATAAGACTCGTATACTCTATTCTATTATAGAAATTCTGAAGTTCATTATAGAAAAAAAAGAAAGGGGTAACTCTGATCATTCCACACCACTTGGGAAGGACAAGCAGAAGACTCACAAGAGTTAATGCAGTCACTTCAAACTTTCAATATTGAGATATTCAAGCAAGCGACATAGAAATAATCAGTTAAGAGAAGGCCACGGTGTGCTATAGAAAGACATATGTTAGTACGAAGTATGAAAGAGCACCCTCTGTTGTTTTTGGTTAACAGAAACAAGTCTCCCAACACCTCAAAACAATATTCCAGAAAAGATTGAGATAAATCATCACTACTGACACACAGATATCTACAAACAGTTCCCAGGGAGTTCAGGCTCTGCAGTTTGTTTGGGAAGGACAGTTATGCACACTGAGAGTTAGTGGTTTATGTAAGGAAGAATATGCTGTGCCCTAGCAAACTCTAGCTGCCCTAAATCAGAACCTTTTTTATAATAAAATATAAATTGTATATGCAAAATTAGAAAAGAAATCCTATGAAGATCCAAAACTGATATGCTGGGCGATTTTAATTTATGATTTTTATAAGGCAAGAGTTTCAGAAAAGGGCATGCATCATCAATAAATACCTGAGTCGCCAATACTATTTCAATCAAAGTAAAAAATATTTGTATGACGTATGAGCCATATGACAGATGAGCCACTCCAATCAGTTAAAAAGATGTGAGAGGTGGTGCATGTTAAATACATCAACAGCAACAGCGGAACTTTTAAGAACATGCAATTTCTGCAACTAGGAATGTGGTTTCCTTAATTAGAGTTAAAAATCTCATAGAAATTTCAGGTTATCATTAATTTATTTCCTGCAACCAGAAATTACTGATTATCTTAAGGACCTAGAAATTATAGAGATAATGATCCATATTGTTTAATTCCAATGATACACTGATGATGATGTAACAAAATAAAAATAAATTGTGCTGTTATAGTGATTAAAGTAGCATGCATCAGGTGCCTTAAGCAGATTCTGCTCAAAGCATGAATATAGAGAAAATTTAAAAATGTACTTTCTCATTAGGGTCCATACCTTAGTGCCTTTCAAAACTACACCATCAGCGAACAGACCAAAACGAGAACCTTGGAAAAAGTTAATAAAGTTTAGATAGATTATAGGAAATATTATATTACAAAGATGTAAAGTATGCATTTTATTTGAGAATTGTCTTGCTGAAGAAACATGCTATTTGGAGTTTCCTGGAAAACTAGTCTCAATTTGGTTGAATACTGACCTAGTGAAAAATTCTTGATATATTTTACAAAGTTTCCATGAAAAATTGTGAAATTCTGTAAATATAGAAAACCACATTGCATATATATTCAGAACTATGCAACTTGGCAGTCAACATTTTCCTGATAAAACTTTTTTTACATAACGTATGAAGAACAAGAGAAAAGTAAAATTTCAAAGGAAAATAATTTGTTCCTGCAGATTTCAAAGACACTGAAGCAAAAGAATTCCACTATCTTCTGTCTGTTTAATAGGATTTTTTTCACTGGAGGTAGTATGAATATGTCAATTACAGGATCATTTATCAGTCCTACATTGAAAGACGCCGTTTGTTACAAGACCTGACAACACACAATCCATTTTTTTTCTGGTTGCTCAGTTTCTGAATATTGAGGACCACCCTTGAAAGGGACACACAGGAGTTACCATAATAGTAATAAAATTAATAACCTTTTACTAGTTTACTTTTCCCAAACATTTCTAGAAAATTCTGTCCTCAAACAGTGTTGAAGATACATTTTGCACAGTAAATACAAAAAAAACCCCCAAAATAAAAATCAGCAAATAGCACCATCTGAATTACCTCAATTCAGCAACCTTAACGTGACCCCCCCATGGGGCACCATATTGTAACAAGCAATTACAACAGTCTGTAATGCAATTTCTCAAACTAGTAGGAAATACAACATGTTTTCTGTACTACTATTCATAAAACAAATTTTAAATGATTCTATGTGTGCCAGAAAAGGCTCATCAAAGTACAGCATCTAACAACTAAAACTATTGATTAGTTCTTAAAGAGGAACTCACATTTCTACCTTTTTTCCATTATGTTATATCTAACATCCATTGTTATTAAAACTGCAAGAGACTGGAGAAAAAACATTTTCCTCCTTCCCCTGCCCCTTTTTTCTAATAGGTTTTCTTTGTGGTTTTGACGTCTCCTTGTGTTATGCATAATTCTTTTCTCTGACTCCCTTCATAAATGTTCAGGTATGTACCAATGTAACAGGTATGTAGTCAAATGTATAATTTTATACACAAAACCACGTGCAGAGAAATCATACAGCATTCAAATGTTTGCATGACCAGATTCACTGAGATTTTGAAGAGAGGGAAAAAATCACATTTATTAGAAAATATGACTACAAAGCCACTAAAACTAGTAAGCAGAGTCTGCCGATTTCTACAAGCATCTAAACATTTTTTTGTAAATCAACAATAGTCCAAGCTGGCACTCTCCCTTTAAATAAAACAAGAGTGAAAATTACACTAGCCACCTACGTGTGCAGCTTCATTAACTTCATAGCTACCTTAGTTACCTGTCCCTTTCCCCAAATTACGCCTAAGAAAAACTGCACTGCACATCCATGCAGTTAAATTAACTTCAGAATCAGCTATTGCATCTTCCAAAATGCCCTAAAGGAATATTGTTCCAGCTGGAAAAAATGCCTGCATACTGCATGTTCTCAATCCCCCTGTTGAAATTGTCCTTTTTTTTTTTTTTAACCTTCAGCAATATAAATCACAAAGTTATGAGAGAAATTCCTTTTTAATTATTTGCCTCTTTTTTTAATCCAGGATTTAACAAACTTGTTTCCCCTTTACCCCTCCTGCAGCATAGTTAAAATCACCTATTTTACCCAGATAGAATTGCGAGAAGCTATTCGGCATATAAAGGCTTCATTTGCTATGTTACTACTACTAGTTAGGTACCAGCTCGAAAATAGGTGTAAACGTTAGATACTTCTTTTCTGCCTACAGCAAACTCCAGCTGTGGCACTGCCTCACAGGCTGCAAACACACTAAACTGTGCAAGGACACCAGCTCAAGCTCTGGCATATTGCCACATCCTTTACCTCACCGTCAACCCATGCTCTCCTAACAGGGCAAAGGCATTCACAGCAGGATCTCAGATCATTCCCAGCACGCAGCACAGAGAAAGCAGCATCTCTTTATTTTGGAGAAAAGTAGAGAGAAGGAAAAAGTTTACCTGCATGCATGAGATTCATAGCATGTCATTTGCACTCAGAGTCAGAGAATATGCTCTGGCTGCCTTTACTTTAAGCGTATAGAGTATGTCAAAGAACACCAAGCCTAGAGAAAGCCGAGAGCACGACATACAGGCAGACTGCTTCGTGAAACACAGACTGGTCATGCATTGTCCAAGCAGTTGTGAGAAGGAAAGCCTGGACCTGTTTTAGGGTGCTACACCCAAAAGTTGGGTATCTCAGAGGAGGTTTCTTCCTCCACCACTGTAGCTGTACATGTGCTTGCCTGCAAGCACAGGAAAGTAGAGGCTAGTCTGATGCAGATTCACACCAGTGCCTGACAGATGACACAAGCTTACCCTGAAATTGTACTTTTGAGACATTACTTAGAAAAACAGAAGGCAAACTGTTGCTGACCAAAGAGCTGACTAGCTTTGGCCTCCGTATTTTCTCAAGCACACAGAAGACTGAAATGTCCTGTTCCTCTTTATGTAAAAGGTCATGGTTTTAAAATGGTGTATTGTTAAAATCTGGTTTGGAGTTCTGTAACAGTAAGTTCATGGCAACACCAACATGAGCGCAGCAAGCATAACAATCAGGCCATGTGGAAAAGATGGGTAGTTCTCCCCAAGAAGTGATAATTGGCAAAAATCTTAATAGTGGAGAAATATTTAAATACTGTGCTCTCACTCTTAAAGCTGCTATGAAAATTCAGACACTTTCCTTGGATTCCTTCAGGAAATCTGCATTTTTGCCATGTGAAACATTCATGCATTTATGTTATCAGTGAAGACTTTCAATACTTTCAACAACACATTTGTTATGAGGCTCTATGCTGCTGGTTTGCAATAAAAAAAGTAAATTGAAAAGGAAAACTAAGATGGGGAGTAGACATTAAATGCAGCATATGTTCTTCTTCAGTTTATGTAAAAGTTTAATACAATATTCTTCTACACTGCAATTTTAACTGTATCAAGAAATATAAATTTTGTTAAGAAATAACTAATAGGCTGGTAACTACATTTGAAATTTATCATTTTTGAGCTCTCTTTAAAGATACCGTAATTGCAGTTCTGAATTGAACTTTTAGAATAGCAAGAACGGTAACTTTACCAGATTTGCTACACAAATGTTTTAATAATTTCCTGCTTGGCAATCTATATTTCACACCACTAATAATAGTAGATAATCTCTGATTTTTTTGCCTTTCATCACTGGCTCCTTTTACTGATAGATATAACTTTTTTTAAAAAGAAAATGTTCTTCCAGAGCCTGCTCTGGCATTTACAGATATCTGTATTTACTTTAGCACAGCTATGTCCACTTCTTGCCAGGTGAAATTCAATGAAGTCAACAAAGCTAACAAACCACAGACAACGCTGACACACCACAGAACCAGTCATGTGAAGAGGGTTCTCATCAGCCAGTTGACATTAGCAACTAGCACAGCTTAATGCCAGGGCTTTGTAGAGCAAAACTGATGAGGCTGAGGATATAACATCCACCACGCTACACAAATTCGAGTGGATTTAACCTTCTGGCTAGGTTTCATATGCAAGAAATCCACTTTGTACCCTTAGGCTGTCCTGAGATGATAGTGAAAGGATGGTGAGGACAGCTGGGAGATTCTCTGCTGAAGCACACTACTGAACCAACTTAAAACACCCATTAGGTGCACTTATCAGCTTTGCCTCTCAAGATATAATTCAGATCCCAAAGAGCTAATGCCCTAAACAGATTTCCACAAACTGATGAGAACCATTAGAATAAATGAAAATGATGAAGATGATCATTTGACCTCACTATCAAGGTCATGGGTGCTATTTGCCCTTGGACGCCCAGCGCTCTGCAGAGACGAAGAAGGGAGACAAATAGGGATGTAAAAAACACCCCAAGCTGGACAACGTGGAACAGCAAGAGAAGAAAATGGCAAGGCATAAAGTAATCAAAAAGGATAGAGATAAGGAAGAACAGACAGTGAACGTCAACTTCAAGAGAGAAATACACAAAAACAGCGCTGTAGAACATGGGGTTTTTTGAAGATTCGGAAAAAAAAAAAGCCTTCAGGTACTCATTCCTAACTGAGTTTTGTTGTTGCTTTTAAAGAAATGTACAGCTCAGGACAGTCTGGATTTGATTCTCTTTCAAACTATGAAGAAAACAATTCTAAATGATTTTGAAAGGGTTTGTGAACACTCTACACCTATCAAAAACAGACCCAACATACAAATACCAGCATTCACAAACACAGAACAATAACTGTACTGAAACTTGCAATGATAGCTGTGATATATATACTTTGGCACTGAGGACAGTCAGCAGGTCAAGAGTAAAAGCAATAATAATTATGCACTGGCATTGCAGCACAATGCTTACAGGTCATCGCATGCTGTTTTCAACCTCATGAAGACAACGATCAGCTAAAGGCAGCACCCTGACACTTTCATTTCAAAAAATCAATTAAACTTACACTTTTTACAGAAATCCCACCCTGCTGACATGCAATCAACAGACAGAATAAAGCAATATAATTTACACTTTCCTGTTACACCATGAAATTGCAATCATGTAAATGTTTCATCATTTAAGATAATACTTATGAACTGATAAATAAAGTTGGAGGTATATTTCAAGGTAAAAAACAAAAATAATACCTATCTGAATTAAATTTACAAACCAACATCTATTACAAAATTAAAGCGTGCAGAGAAAGGTTTTTACTGAGGAATACTTTAACTTCTCCATACCTTACTGTAAAAGATTTGCATTTTTCCTTCCCACCATTCTGAATCAAGTTAGGCAGCAAAAAGAGATATATAACAATCAATAGTCTTGAAAATGTGGATTATTGCATGCTTTGAATTTCTGGTAAATTATGTATAGAAATATCAAAGAACACTTTAGATGCAAGGAAACTTACTATCTGAGAATAGAGACACCCAGAATAAGTAATGTGAAAACATGCCTGAAAAGTCTTTTTAATGTGGGCATACTTCATTTTAGAGATCTTTAACTGCTGGCAAGTATTCACTGGAAGATAACCCTTTGCGAAGGATGGGCACTACTTGCTCGGGAACTTGTGTTCTCTGATGGAGACCAAGATTTAAGGAAATGAAGTCAGGATGAACTCTATTTAGAGTTCAGGTATCTCAGCACCACCAAGGTACCATATTACTCACAAACCCGTGGTGAACCATTTTCAACATGACTCTGCAGGTTCAAGCTGGGGGAGAAGTACAGGGGATATTAGAATCATAAATAAAACATGGAGTAGAATTATGAAAAATAACAAACAAATAAACACAAGAAATGCGGGGAAAAATCCTCAGTTGAATTTCAGTATAGACAACATCTTATAATACCATACTGTAAAAAATAAATTCGTTGACAAAGTCATGATTTAACGTTGTTACAAACTGAAAGAGGGTAAATCACCACAGTAAATCACTGTTTGATTCATTAACAGAATCAAAGATGGAAAATCCTGAACTGGCCTTAGATGTAAATACTGAAGAGAATAGGTAAACAGTACAAAAGAATCTACAGGGCTTTCAGATTCCAATCTCTATACAGAAAAATGCAAAAAAAAGAAGATATTATCATCATAAAAATGACACTGGATGAAACAGGGAAAATAGTTCAAAGATCATACATTTATTAAGAGAAACAAATGTAAAAGGCAATAAGTGACCTTGAAATCATATCAGTTGCTGAAAGTATATCAGTTGCTAAAATTATATTAAGTTTGTTGAATAATAGCATGTATTTGCAGAATAGCAATGTTAGAAGTGATGCAGAAAAAAAGCTTGGGAAATCACAGGTTATAGACCCTTTTTATATTTAAGTCTGCAATTTTCTCTATAATTTTCCATATCAAGATACTGAAATAACAAAGGATTAGAAGAAAAACACACAAAAAAATTTTAAATGCTGATTACCAACATAACTTAGTCTCAGCTAAGGTACTACTCAGCAGGTAGCCATGCAGGAGAGCTTATAAAATCTATGTACACAGTAAGAAAGAGAAATATTGGAATCACAGGAAAATATGACTACAAATAGTCAGATTATATGGAAAAAGAGAAATTGCATGCTGCATATCAGGAAAATCTTCCTGACAGTGAAACTGTGGAATATTTTCTCAACAAGCTAGAAGAAACACTCAGTGGCATAATGAAGGGAACAATGCTGGACTAGCAGGGGGGCAGACCAAAAGATCCGAAATGTATTTTCTTTATCTAATTCTAACGGAATATTAAAGGAGACAATCAATAGTCAGGGAGGTAAGTTATTTTGATAAGCTCCATGGTTTTCATTCTTTCAGAAGAAAGACCATGGTTGAAGTTGGGAGGGGGAAAAAAAAGGAAAAACCAAGCTGTGTGCTTTCTTACAGCTACTGTTTCCCATTGTGGATGTTACCATTATCTTTACATATGAAGAGAAATTGAAATAATCTAGAGAGATCTCCCACACTACAACACTGAGATAAAGAAGAACTTAAAAGAAACACCACACGGTCTGGCATCAAATTAAATGGGGAAGAACAGAGTCATGTTTCCCAGGGGAAACAGACAGAATATTATAGGGTTAGTCACACTATTAGTGAGGCCAATAATGCCACTTAGAAGAAAACTAAGTGTGATATACACCTAAAGTTTTCATATAATTTCAGTTTGGCAGAGGGACATACTGCTGTACTGAAGTTATATAGCAACAGCACAATTCTAACAGAGAAAAATAGTGAAAAAGGAATTCAGCCATTTGGGTAGCTTTTTTCAACAATTCAGCAAAACAGCTGAATATGTCAAATTTGAGCCTAAAACGTAACTGTTGTAATTAAAATTATATGCAAACTCAGTAAGTGATACTTATTTTAAAGTACAACATAATGTCGGAATATACTTATATTTGAATATAGTCATATTCCCATTATATTCCACTCATTTTTACCCACAGTCAGAGCACTAACAATTTAGAGAGAATGGCTCAGAAAACAGCAGGTTTTTAATTATAGATGTTCCTAGTACAGTAATATAATCAGCTGCCTCAGGAACAGTTTTAAGGTGCAAGAGCTACTGGTAAATTGCTTAGAAATAAACTGGTTTAAAATATTGCCTACCAAAAGATACAAGAAAACAAGCGTGGTCAAATGGCTTATTCACGTAAAAAAACTCCTAAATTGTAAACCAGCTGTGCTGCTGAATTAGCATCTGTTTTTCAGTCAGATCACAAGTCTGTTGTGTCTCAATATCTGGAGCTGTGAAATGAAAACAAATAACATTTATCTTTTTACTTTATGAAGCTTTGGTTGTAAACCCTTTGGGGCAGGTAATGGGTCTCTCATCCTACTCTTCTAAAGACTGAGCAAGTGACAACACAAAAAAATACTACTATTTAGGATGATGCAAGAGGAAAAAATATTTGTGCAATACATTAAGTTCTAGTTACATGTCATCTAACACTAATACATTGTATTGTCCGATTTCCTCTATTGTTTTTGTTACAATTTATCAGATCAGAAATTAATGAAAGAACATACCAGGTTCCTTAACTTTTCTAAATTCTTTATAGTGGCTAAGTTTGTTCTATGTAGACTAATAAAGAGCAGGAGGCTGAATATTAAGTGAGCAGACAGGCTTAAGAAAGTATTTTCTTAAAAATCAGCAATGAAATGAGTTTGGAGGACAGAAAGGGCAGTACAGTTTTCAATGAGTCTGCAGAAGGGAGAAAAGCAAAACAAAACAAACAAAGCAGAATGAAACAAAATAAACAAAAAAAAATGGAGGGAGGGAGGCATTGTGAAACAGCTTCACAGTTCACACAGGAAATTGTCCTCTTCCTTCCTTCCTTCCTGATAAATAAACTGATAAATAAAGTTGGAGGTACATTTTGAGATAAAAAACTGAAATAATTCCTGTGTGAATTAAATTTACAAATCAACATATATTACAAAATTAAAGCATGCAGAGAAAGGTTTTTACTGAGGATACTTTAACTTCTCCATACCTTATTGTAAAAGATTTGCATTTTTCCTTCGAAGGAGGGAGGGAGGGAGGGAGGGACGGAGGGAGGAAGGAAGGAAGCAAGCAAGCAAGCAAGGAAGCAAGGAAGGAAGGAAGAAACCACAGAAGCAAGGAAGCAAGGAAGGAAGCAAGGAAGGAAGGAAGGAAGGAAGCACAGAAGCAAGGAAGGAAGGAAGGAAGGAAGGAAGGAAGGAAAGAAGGAAGGAAGGAAGGAAGGGGACAATTTCCTGTGTGAACTGTGAAGCTGTTTCACAAGGCCTTCCAAATCACCTCAGCCAGGATGAATTTGGCTCTATGTCTGAATGGACTACAGGTCCAGTACCCTTCAAATGGTGGCACATATCATAGCCATACAGATGCTTAAGGCCTCCTTGTCCTCCCCTGTAATGGTAGGAAAGGAAATATCCATCTCTTGATTCCTTTACAGTTCAACACTAGTTTTGGAAAGGCACAGGAGAAGGGCTGTTTTGCAGACTGCAGTCCCTTTGAAGTCTTGAAGACCACAGTTGCAGCATGCAACTTTCTACTCTGTGCACAGATTAAACAAATTCCACTTGGTACGTGCCCCTGGGCAACATCTGTATTATTCACAAATTAGATGCTAGCCTGAACTTGGAATCAGAAGAAGCCCTCCAATCACAGGCACAACATTTCATAAAAGTCTGAAGCTTGCTTTTCGTGCTTCACAGACTTCCTATTTTGGCATATTTCTGAAGAAAGCCAAAGACAATGTGTTTTGGAATATACCTTGATGTTTGGATGGAAGGGTTCACCTTCAAATTTGTAACAAATGGACGCATAAACCATAACCCACTCCATGATTCATTTAAAGACTCTCTCTTACTAGGCAACTTAGCATTTCAATAATCAAACTAGACTCTCAGAGAGCCGGGAGGGTATGAAGGGTTGGTTCCTTCCTACATAACAGTGTCAGAGTCCACAAACAAGGTCAGCAATAAAAGGCGATTTGGAAAGAATACCAATAAGTTAATTAACTGATTCAGATAAACTCTGAGCTCATCCTGGGAATGAACTTAACCTGCCAAGCATCAAGAAGGAAAAACACTCTCATGTGTTTTGTGTTTAGCTACCATTCCCAAGAACCTCCAGAAACTCAAAAGATCTACCACTGTTTCGACAGAATGCTTGGATGAAGTGTACAGAAGACATCAACTATCAAGCCACACAAAAATTTTGACAAATGATATCACATACATGCACAACACTTACATAGCAGCTGTAGACACATGTACTAGTAGACATGCACTGTAGATACTGATACTGGGTTCAGGCCTTTGTCAATAACTGAAGGTAGCAAAGTCTGTCTTTTGGCAGGCAGGGGCTGATCAAAGTTTCTATGAGTGCTGCCATCTGATATCCTGTTAGAGATAATTTCTTTGCCCATAAGGAATTCAAACTGAGAGGAAAAGGAGTGGGTAGTCCACAGAAAGACAGACTGACAAATACTTCCTTTGTTGGTACACATTTTACCAGTAGCATCCTCAATTTTGTGAATATTCCCAGTGACGCAGGAGTGCTGAAAGGTCATAACCTGTAGAAGCAGGACTGTATTGCAACTTCTTCAGTATTTCTTTGCGTTAGAAATATTCAAATGTTAAGTCAAAACCAAAGAAATAGCTGAGTATATGGAATGGTGGAGGCAAACACAGTAATCTCAATGGGTTAGATATTGCAGAATTCAGGTCTAGGATACAGTGAAGACTTGCTTTTGTCTAAATAGTCTAAACAAAGCAACAAGGCCAGTTCTCCAGTAAAAGGCTCTCATAAGAATTGTCCTTCAAGAAAAACATGGAAGAGAGGTGGATTAGGGGTAAAAACTGGATTTACGTAGTGTAACAATGGATAATGAACATTAACTACATCAAATAAATGGGGCAATGTGCCTTTGAAGGCTGTGCCTTTCTCCACAAAATCTCATGAAAAAGCATACGTGTGTCAGTCAAGGAGGTAGAAAGCTGGTAACTTCTATTGTACTTTGGCTTTTCTGAAGCAATTTACCTGGAGACACAGTAACATTCTCTACTTCAGCTGGATTCTTACTTCTCGATCTGTAGGTACCCCTTCATTTATAA